AATTTTTTTAAAAAAGGAATGTGAATAGGCAGGAGACTAGGACAACGTCATATACTAGATTTAGGGTATATTTTGGTTCGTTAGAAGAAACTACCCCAAAATTTTAATGGAAGAAAAATACATATATAAAAAATAAGGTTAAGTACGATGAAGAGCTAGAGTATGACTGTAAAAATGAAAAATTTAAAAAGATTTTAAAAAAAGGAATTGACAAGATGATGTTGGTTGAAAAAGGAAAGAAGAATAATTCAACTAAAAAAATAGAAAAAGGAAAAAATAAAAATTTAAAAAATTAACTTTGAAAGACTAAACATCATGGGAAAACTATGAATTCTATGTGCAGTATTCCCCTAGCACCGTTGTTTTGCCGTTCTCATTGATGGGTAAACTTGGTCTTGGCTGGCTGTTCTTGCTGATCTTCTGCGGGAGGGGCCTGTTGCAGTGGTTCTCAAATGTCTGCTGGAGGTGGAATTGCCCCGCCCTTGCTGGGGCCAGGCTAAGTCATCTGCTCGGGTTTGTTCTCGGTAGCTTTTGTTCCCTGAAAGCTTTCCCTACAGCTTTGGAGGACAAGAATGACAATGGCGTTCTCCCAATCTCTGGTCCCAGAGGAGTGGAGAGCTCGGGGCCGCACTCCTCAGTGAGCCCCCAGAGAAGAGCGTCAATCACTCCCATCTCCCTGGTCTCCCGTGCCTACTCTGTGCTCACCTGGCCTGTGACCGAGCATTTCTATCTCTGGCACCCGACCCCCGTGTGGAGTCTCCAAACCCAGCAGATCCCTGCGGTGCGCCCCCGCGCCGCTCCTCCCCCGGGAGGAAGGGGAGTCTCCCCGATCTGCTGCTTGTTGGGTCCCTACTGGAAGAGCAGTGGCCGGACTGTCACCGATCACAGTTTATGGCAACCCGGAGCTGAGAGCCCATGCCTCGGCTCCGTCTCTGCAGCCGGCTTTCCTGCTCTGATGCCTGGGAGCTCTGCCGCACTCAGGCACCCCCGGTCTTCCTGTGACCCCGAGGGTCCAGAGACCACACTGTCCCAGCGAGGGTTCCACCCCCCCCAAGCCACTGTCATGATGGCCCTCAGCAAAGCAGACTGCTAAAAGTTCCGATTTTTGTGCTCCGCTGCTCTATCATTTGCGGGTAGCTGGCTGAGGAGGCTCCCCGCCCCTGTCTGTCATCCTGTATATCACCTTGGATTCACTTCTCCTCATGTCCTACCTTCCAGAAAGTGGTTGCTTTTCTGTTCAGAGAGTTGCTGCTATTCTTTTCTTCGATCTGTTGAGTTTGTAGATGTTCTGAATGGTTTGATAATTATCTAGCTGAATTCCTGGGGCTAGACAAAATTTAGGTCTCCTACTCTTCTGCCATCTTGCTCCTCCCCCCCGGTTTTGAGTTTTTTTTAAAGTAAATGTGATTATGTTACTTCTGTAAAGGAAATGAAACTTTACTTCTATAAATTAGGGACCAGAATAAATAACATACAAGGAAATTTTATCAGTTGGCTGAACAGAATCTCATAGAATAACAATATTGTGGTAAGCTCATCACAGTCCAAGATAATGATCTGATCTACCAGTCCTGAGAGTCCATATTGTTTCAGTAAGAGTTGATTGCTTGTTAAATGCCAATCTTTTTTATTTTATTGTAAATCTGCTTGTGTTATGTGTCAAATACGTTAAGTACTTGAGCCTTCCACTACGGACTGGCTTCTCTCTAGGCCTACTGTACCGTCATTATCTTAGGATTTCTCTTTACCATCATTGTGACATGCATTTTGCCCTGTTACCTAGGTCCCATGTCTTCCTCTTTCTTTGTTTACTCCTTAATTTGTTGGAGAGCATTCGTAGCGAACTTCCTGAGGAAGGGGTACAGATGGTAAACTTTTTGAGAACTCGTATATCTAAAACGTTTCCATCATAGCCTCACACTCAATAATTTAGGAATGGAATTTAGATTGAAAATCATTTTCCTTCAGAAATGCCTTTTGAAGGCATTACTGCATTGTCTTCTAGCTTCCAGAGTTACTGAAAACTCCAGTGCCTTTTTACCATTCTGATTCTAGGTCATTTGTGAATTTTTTTTTTTTCTGGAAACTTTTAGAATCTTTTTCTATGCATTTTTCTTAAATTTCGCAAAGATGTGTCTTGATGATTATTTTCATCTTGGGCTTTCAGTGGGCTCTTTATTTTTTTTAAGATTTTATTTATTTATTTGACAGAGAGAGACACAGCAAGAGAGGGAACACAAGCAGGGAGAGTGGGAGAGGGAGAGGCAGGCCTCCCGCGGAGCAGGGAGCCCGATGCGGGGCCCGATCCCAGGCCTCTGAGATCATGACCTGAGCCAAAGGCAATCGCCCAATGACTGAGCCACCCAGGCGCCCCTCAGTGGGCTCTTTAAATCTGGAACTCTAATTCTTTAGTCCTGGGAAATTTTCTTCAATTACTTAATACTTTCCTTCTCCCTCCATTTTCTTTCTTTTCTCATTTTTGGATTTACTATTCAAATTGGAACTTTTTGGCTTCTGTTTTTTCTTTCTCTTATTGCTAAACTCTCTGGAATATTTCTCCAACCCTTCTATTGAGTTTTTCATTCTAGTCTCAGTCTCCTACCTGGAGGAATAAACCTGATTGCCAGCATTCTGGAATCTGGTGATCTTAATATATGTATAAACTTAACCCCCTTTTTTCACTGTGGCATTCCTGTCTCAGCTATGCCTCGTACCCTCTGGTCCACAGAAGTCTGGACTAACAGTCTCTTTTACCTTCACAAGAATTTTTGACTCTGCTACGGTGCAGAAGGGCCAATTGCTCAGGTACATAGAGTGGCGCAGGAGATATGATGGCCTAACTGCTGCTTGACTTTAAGCAAGTCCTCTTTTTTTTTTAGCCCCATTTTCACCCCCACCTCTCCCTTCAGGGGTATCAGGTGCCACTAATTCCCCAACCTTTGCATGGGTTTTTTAACATTGGTCACATTGCTTCTCATCTTTTCCTGCTTCCAGTTTAGGATAAAATTTTCTTGGTCTATTAAGTTAGTTGTTACCACTCCATTTCCTTTTCAGCTGACAAAAAGTTATCACTGTTACCTCTTTGTTCTTATGTGTTTGTGCCTGTTCTCTTTATTTCCTTTACTGCTGTTTTTATTTTTTTTTTAAAGCTTTGGCAGGTATCTTTCTTCAAGTATAGAAAAAAATAGGATACCATTAATTTTTACAGCTGAGCATATTTGATTTATAGTCAGTTAAACATATTGAACAAACTTTTTAATATAGCATTCAGCTACTTAATGCTATCTTTATACAGTTTAAGGGATACAACTTTGATTAATCCATGTTTAACTAGATCTTTAGCTGGACATCTGAATGTATCAACTTCTCTAGTTAAACATTTACTATGGCTATAGATGAAAGTATAACTCCATTTATGCCAGAGGAATAGTATAGGTATTATCAGTGGAGTTTAGAAAAGGGAGAATGTGATGAGCAAAAATTTGGCAGTTTTTATCTAGTACTGTCCAAGGAGAGAGAGGGAATCTGAAAGATCTGTACATTCTGATCGCTAGAATTGGGGATAATCTTTTCAGGAAAAGTTTTACAGTGGCCTTTGTAAAATCCTGAAAACTACTTCTCTTTCTCTTATGGCATGCTCACTAGATAACCTAATTTTTTGCTAATTAAGCTTTCCTGATGTTAGAAAGGGAGTCCTGAGCAGTATAGGCACAGGTATTTCAGTTACTAGAGTAGAACCCTGTACCTAGAATACTACTACTCCTAACAGTTGACATTCATTGAGTACTTACTATGCACCAGGCACTGCTCCAAGCGCTTTATGTATATTAACTTGTTGAATACTCACACCTTAATAGATAAGGACACTAAAGTTAACATTAAGTACCTTGACCAATATCACATAGTAAGTGATGGAGCTGCATAAATTGATTTATTAATACAAACTATAATAAATTTGTCTTGTGATTTATACTTGATTCTTATTGAAGGTAGTGGGAGTCAAAGAGCCTGATGAATTCCAAGAATATTGGGGAAATGGACCTTTTGGGTCTGTAAGCTAGTTAGTATTTCACTTGAGCGACACAGACATAATAGTACCACCCCATAATAGAAAGTCTGCCTGAGTAAACATGTGGCCCCCAAGGAGGTTACTTTCTTAGATCTTATTAATATTGAATTTACTTAGAACCTGGTATTTCGTTAAATTATTCTTTGGTTTTAACTTTTTTACTGCTTAAAGATGTTAGAATAGTTGAAGTGCAAAGACAAAAGTAGCAGCTAGAAAATTGTCAAAAAAATGTGCATACCTCAAATTTATCCAAGAACAGGTGCTTCTGTCCACTTGATCCTTGTTGTATTTCTCTTGCCTTTCATCAGTGATTTAAAGGTTTACTCTATGTGAAAAGAACTTTGAAAAAGGTGAATTTCTTTGCAGATGGATTCAGTGAAAAAAGTGATAGATAGGGGTGGTTGGGTGGCTCAGTTGTTGGGCTTGGGTCATGATCCCAGGGTCCCGGGATCAGGCCCTACTTGGACTCCCTGCTTGGTGAACCTGCTTCTCCCTCTTCTTCTGCCTGCTGCTTCCCCTATTCTATGTGTGCTCTCTCTCTCTGTCAAATAAATAAATAAAATCTAAAAATAAAGTGATAGATGTATATAAAATACCTGTTCGTGGTAGAGAAATACTACTTATTCTCTTAATAATCACTTTATCACTCCAGTTGTAGAGATGGAACTCCTTCTGCAGATCCTACTTTAGACAAGGATGATACAATAGCTTTTTATTGTTTGTGATTAACAGGAATTTTCTGAGTATACAGTAGTTTACTAGGGGCCCCTGGCTGGCTCAGTTGGTAGAGCATGTGACTCTTGATCTTGGGGTTGTGAGTTTGAGCCCCATGTTGGGTGTAGAGATTACTTTAAAAAAGAAAAGTTTATTAAGTGCTCTTTTCATTATTGACTGACAGCTTAATATTATCTTTTCCTTTCTGAACCAATAGGTCTTGGCTGTTCAACCATACTTTCTCCGGAAGGATCAGCTCAGTTTGCTGCTCAGATATTTGGATTAAACAACCATTTGGTATGGGCTAAACTGCGAGCAAGTATATTGAACACATGGATTTCCTTGAAGCAGGCTGACAAGAAAATCCAAGAGGGCAATTTATAAAACATCATTGCCTTTTTTTTTTTGAGAAAAACTACATTTCTTGTTTAGTTTCAGAAAAAAATCAAGATGAAAAGTTTTTAAATCAATCAAAGAAAACAATAAAATTTACTAGTGAATAAATGCCTCTCTAGATTCATGGATCAGTAGACTCTGGAGATATTAACATTTCTTTAGAGGAAGTGAAATTAGTATAAGGACACTTTTAAAATATCTTAGCTACTATATGGTCCTAATTGGGTAGATAACAATCAAATATATTTCTTAAATACTAATAGTGTCTTGTTATAGAGCTCTAAAGTTATTACTTGACTTTCTGTATCTCAACCCATAAGTTTTAAAAAGTTAAAATGCTTGTATCTTAGAGTGACAAGAGCAATATAGTCCTCTTTTACATTATGATCTTTACAAAATCCTAAGGGTGTGGTGTTTTATTTGTAGTCACTCTCTCAAAATAGATGTGTATTTATCCCCAGCTATAGACCAAGATGCTGTTTTGTTTTGCTTTTGTTTGTTTAAGTTGAGATTGATATTGGGGGTAGGGAAGACACATGAAATAAGATGAAGGGATACTGTGGAAGCTATAGAAAGGGGACTTTTCTGAGAACTTCTCTGATGGATGTTAGGGCAATTTCCCATGGAAAAAAAAAAGTAGAGTCACCTTTGTCATTCCAAATGAAAGATTTAGTTAATCTTACTTACTTATAATGGGGTGCCTCTGTGGACCATAAAATTCTTTTAATTCTGATAATACATGTTTTAGCCAAACTAACAATCCTCAGCCTACCATGATTTTCTGAAATTGGAATCTCCTAGTCGATAACCATACTAGTTTCTTTCTTATAACAATAGAAGTCTGGGCAGGTACCCAGTAAGATTCACCTCTAAAGGAGCAGTTGTTACTGAGAGATGTTATAGTTCATCATCAATCTATAAACCATGTTTGGAAATCACTGTTACATTACACAGACCTGAGGACTTTTTTTATAGATCACTAAACTTTAATCTGAATGTCTATGAACCCCTTGAACTTCCATGTAGAATTTTATGTCTGTGTTCACTTTTATGGAAAGGGGGCAATCATCGTTTTTATCCAAAGGATTAAAATGTTAAGAATCTCTGCTACAGGGATGTCTGGGTGGCTCAGTCAGTTAAGTGTCTGCCTTCGGCTCAGGTCATGATCCCAGGGTCCTGGGATCGAGTCCTGCATCATGCTCCTCACTTAGCGGGGAGCCTGCTTCCCTCCTCCTGCCTGCTGTTCCCCCTGCTTGTGCTCGCTCACTCTGTCTCTCTCTCTGACAAATAAATAAAATCTTAAAAAAAACAAAACCCACACTGTGTGTGGGGAAAAAAAAGAATCTCTGCTATGGATGAAATCTTGGTAAGATCCTTGCCACTGGCTTACACTGTCTATACCTTTTCACCTCCCTCTGAATTGTTAACAAGCTAGCATCTCTTATCACTTCTTTTACCTCATCTCATGGGGCAGGGTATGATTGTCCTAACCATTCCTTTCTTTGACTAGACACTAAGATATTCCAACCTCAATCCTGATGTTTTTCTTATATTCTTTCCCTTTAAGTATTGATGTTTCTTCTATTGAGTCTCTCCATTACTTATAAGTAATCATTGGAGTAACTCCTTCAGCTAAAACTAGCATTACTGACTCTTAGCTCTGTATTTGTAGACTTGTAGTTTGAACTGTTCATTCCTCTCTGTCTGAATGCCCCAAACTTACTTCATCTGCCATCCAGCCTATTAACTGGCTGTACTCTCTGTCCCAAATCAGAAGTGTTAGTTCATCCTTAATATTTCTTTCTTACATTTTCACATCTCACTTATTACAGAGTTCTGAATTTACCTGGTTTACCCATCCTCTGTTCAAAAGTCTCAGGTGGGTCAAATTCTACATTATTGGACTGATCTAGAAGGTCTTCATTCTCAACATTTTGAAGTTGTCCAAGGACTGACAGCATAAACTGTTAACATCTCTTTTGCAACATAGACTCCTTTGAAAATACGAATGCCCTTGACTCTCGCTAGAGAATTGCACACAAAATTTACCAACAGATTGCATTGGTTTTTGCATTCCGTTGAAGCCTGTCATGATTTGTAGTTTAAGAATCATTGCAACCTATCAAGAGAACTTGCTTTCCTCATAATTTTTGACTTTCACTTATCTGTACTTTTTTTTCTTTTTCCTTTTTTAAGTTTTTATTTTTAGTTTTAATTTAAATTCTAGTTAGTTCACATACAGTGCAATATTGGTTTCAGGAGTAGAATTCAGTGATTCATTACTTAAATACAACACCCAGTGCACATCATAACAAGTGCCCTCCTTAATACCCATCACCCATCTAGCCCATCCCCCACCCACATCCCTCCATCAATCCTGTTTTTTTCTCTATCATTAAGAGTCTTTTATGGTTTGTTCCCCTCTTCCCACCCCTCCATATGTTCATCTGTTCTGTTTCTTAAATTCCACATGAGTGAAATCATACGGTATTTGTCTTTCTCTGACTGATTTTGCTTAGCATAATACACTCTAGCTCCATGTTGTTAAAAATGGCAAGAATTCATTCTTTTTGATGGCTGAGTAATATTCCATTGTATATACATACCACATCTTTATCCATTCAATGTACTTTTAGTTCCTACAATGAATTATTAAAATCTGTTGTCATTTAAATCTGTTACTAGAGCTTCATCTTCACTCTCTCCATGAAACCTTCCCAAATCCCTTTTTCTTTGTTGGATGGAAGCAGCAAGAAAGGAGAAAATATAATCTTACACTTTATTTCCTCACGTTGCCTTTTGCTTTGATGTGCTATGCCTAGTACTTCTTTGTTGGATTGGAAGCTGCAGTAGAGGAGAAAGTATAATCTTACACTTTATTTTCTTCACGTTGCCTTTTGCTTTGATGTGCCATGCCTAGCGGTCTGCTAGATGGGAGAATTGTAAAAATTATGTACTGTTTCATTCTCTTATGTTAGTCCACAAGAACAATTAAAAAGATATGATTTTAACATCTTTAAACTGTGGTTTTGTGGCCTCTGAATAGTCATTGGCTGCAATTTCAGCTTTTCTATCTCTACCTGCAAAAATTCCACCTGCTTTGGTACAGTACATGAGAAATTTCAAACACTGATTTAGACTAGTAGATAGGACTGACCATTTCAATGGTCATTATCATTTTCACTTTTAGTTTTTTAGAGTATGTATATCCTCAGCAGGGTAGTTTCATTAATACTAGAGAAAATACTTGTTTGAAAGTATTTTAACTGTTATATTAACTTATACAAACCTACCTAGTTTGCCATCTTTGGGTGATTATACTTTCTTTGGGCTTGTAGGTGAACATAAAAAGAGGAAGAAAAATTTGTCCAAGTAATACAGTACTTAACTTTGTATCACAAAGGCATGCTTATTACAGTTGCTGTTGCTTTAAAGCCTTCATTGAAATGTAAACACTGTAGTCAAATAAAAGACAAAGATAAGTTGTGTGAAGCTTTATTCATTCATCTACTCATGAAATAACATGCTTTGTCTGGTTTTATTCTAGGCCCTAGGAAAGCAGCAGTAAACAGAAACAAGGCTCCCACTGTCACAAAAATCTTACTGGGGATAACAAACCATAAAAGATGTCTTAGGTAGAGTTAGGGAAGTATAAGTGCATATGAAGAATAACCAAGGTGGTAGGACAGTGCTGGGGATAAGAGGAAGGTTTTTGCAAAGAGCAGAGCAATGATGTAAAAGAGCAAGCCATATAAAAATGTGGGGAAGTACCCAGACTAGGGGCAGGAAGTGAAACAGCTTTGCCTTTTTGAGGACCTGCAAACATGCCACTATTGCTGGAGCTCTGGTGAGCAAAGACTAGATCACTTAGGACCTACAGGCCACGCTACAGTACAAAAGGAAAACCACTGGAGAGTTTGAGCAGGGTCATGATGTGACATATTTAACATGTTTTTAAAGTTCTCTGGCTATTGTGTGGACAAGCAAGGAGATTGGTTAAGGAGCTATTATAGTCCAGGTGAAGGATGATGTGACCTTCAGTAAATTACTTTATGCCTCTACTTCAAGTGTAAAATGAGACTAATAATACTCCCTCCCTCATCCTGCTAGGAGAATTAAATGAGTCAACATATGTGAAGTATATCCTAACACATGAATACATTATATAACATCCCCTTTGGCAGACTATAGAAGATGGTATGAGTGGAACTGATTTGCCATGAAAATCACCTTGAATTTAATATTCCCTTCAGCTGATTTCATTTCTAAACAGGGAAAAAGGGGGCACCTAGGTGGCTCAGTAGTTAAGCGTCTGCCTTCAGCTCAGGTCATGATCCCAGGGTGCTGGGATCAAGCCCCGCATCGGGCTCCTTGCTCCGAGGGAAGCCTGCTTCTCCCTTTCCCACTCCCCCTGCTGTGTTCGCTCTCTCGCTGTCTCTCTTTTTGTCAAATAAATGAAATCTCTAAATAAAAAACAGGGAAAAGGGGCAGAGAATCAGCATAATGTGGCTTATCCACAGTTCATCTTCAGCCCAGCAGTTCTTGGGAAGCCAGAGTGAAAATGTTTTAATGGTGCTTTTTGCATTTAACTCCCCATGACCTCGAATTACTTGGCATGGAGTTGTTCATCTAACATTGTGGTACAGTAAGGATTTCCCTAGGCACATTACTGTGAGCTTCAGTTCTCATTTGTAAGTTACAACTAAATAATATTTCTTCTGCCTGCTTCACAGAGTGTATAAAATGACAAGATACTGTACATGGAAGCTTCTCATAAATCACAAATGGCTAAATCCACTGGTGCAAAAAAATAAGATTTTGAGTACCGGTGATGTGAGAGAAGATCCTGGGGATGCAGCAATGAACAAGATCCAATTTCTGCCCTCAATGAATCTTGGAGTATTGGAGGGAGACCATTTCAAAACACAACATTGTCTTAATACGGAATAAATGATCAGGGATTCTGAGTACACATAGAAGGGAGGAATTTAAAGAACAAGTATACATTGTGAATGAACATACTCTGCATTCTATTCTCAATCCCTCTTACCTTAATTTTCATTGAATTTATTACCACTGAACATAGTATATATTAATTAATTGCCTAT